TACCTCTTGTCTTAGAAGCTGCTCACTTCTTTGTCTATCAGAAGCTTATCGACTTTCAAGACCAACTTAAATGGTACCTCTACCATGGAGATCTATTCTTATCACCCCATCTGAAGTTATTTTTCTCTTCTTTGAGCCCCTATGGCATTTTCTTTGTCTCTCTTTACTCACTGCATGCTGCCTTATATATTCACATGAGAAACACATGGTGAGGTACAGGGCACCTTAAACTAAAATAAGAAAACATAAGTTTTAATATGGGCTCTTATCTGTAAAAAAACAGATTAAAAACAATATCTGTTTTGTTCACCTCATAGAGATGAAAAGATAAAATGAAATTAAGTATGTGAAGGCATTTTTTTTTTTTTTTTAGAGATTTTATTTATTTATTTGATAGAGATCGCAAGTAGGCAGAGAGGCAGGCAGAGAGAGAGGAGGAAGCAGGCTCCCTGCTGAGCAGAGAGCCCGATGCGGGACTCGATCCCAGGAATAAAATAAAATAAAATAAAATAAAATAAAATAAAATAAAATAAAATAAAATAAAACAAAATAAACCAAGGAAAAAAGAATACTGAATTTCTTCATAGAAAGTTTTCATTGGCATAGTCTTGAAATGTCTTTAAAGAATTCTTACCTGATATCAACTTCCTCTTTACATTCACTGTTTCTAATAAAGAAATCCACTTTCTTAACAAAATGTGAAGAATTTGGTATTTTTTCAGAGTGAGTAAAGCACAGCTTTTCAATTTCTGGTGACAGGCTTTGTTGTTCTCTTTCTTGTAAATGGACCTATATTTTGAGGTTAACAGAAAAAAAAGGCAATCTTTGAAAGTTTAACTATTCAGACAGAATTTAAAAGAAAAACAATGAAGTGCTTCTTACAGTATTTGCATTTCCAGCTTGTTGAGGTGATTTTTTCATGGAGGATGCATCAAACTTGAACACAGGAGAATTTGATAAATAAACATCTGGCTTCTCAGGCAATGAAACAAAACTAAAAATAAAAATTAATCATTTGTAAAATATGGCAAAGAGGAGAAAAAAACCATTTTAATTTAGATGAATAGTGATTCTTTGGGGAATATGATTAAATTTTACCATATTTATTACTAAAAATTATGCTGTTTTTTAGACTCATGGAAAATTTGGTGTAGCTCCTTTCCTTTAGACAAAACACCAATTACTATATTCCAAATTAGATAAGAATACTATTTTTAAAAGCCTCCAGAAGTAATCATTCAGTAATTTTCTTTAAAATTTAGTCTTATGCTTAATTTTCTATTACCTAGCAGTCTGTAAATCTTTTCTAAATCCCACTTTGCTTAACTTTTAATCTCCTCTCCCTTCCAATCTCACTGTAGAGAGATAACTTCACTTATCTTCTTATGTAAAACTACACTAAAATTCACCTTCAATCTTCTGTATAAATTCATTCATTAAAAAACATTTATTATTCACTACCATATGCCAGATATTGTACTAAGAGCTAGGTATAAAGAGGTAAACAAATCCTCAGGGAGTTATCATCTATTAGAGGAGCAGACAACGAGTAAATAATAAATATACATAATTATAGATCCTGAAGTGATATGAAGGAAATTGAGTAACATTACAGGAAATAGTGTGGAGACACAAACACACTTCAAAAGGTGGTTATGAATGCATGTCTCTCTGAGGAGGTGACAATTTAAGTTGACACTTATAGGCTAAAATAGGAGTAAAAAGCAGTGGGTGCAGGTAGTAGAGTAGAGAAGTACACATATTGAGAGGATTGAATCTTTTTGTCTTTGATTAAAGACAAGAAATCAAAATAGTAAAAAGGGGTATAAAATGAAAAGCATGACTCCTTTCCACTCCAAATCCTCAGGTCCTACAGGCCTTCTTTTCAGTATCAACTTCTGGCACAATTTTTCTTTAGAGGCTTCTTGATAAGGATTCCTTTTTAAATCCACTTATCTTCCGTTCATTACTTTTAAACTCTCCATAAATTATTTATAGTTTCTAAAGATATGGCCCACAAAACTGTCTATGTGCTTTGTTATTTTCCTACTTGTATCTTTTTCCTTCCTACTTAAATTTTTTGCTTCTTTACACCCACAGCTTTGTTCTCCTTTGATGCTTCTAATCTGTTTATTCTGTATGACTCAAAGTTAGAACCAATGAATGGAAATAGTAAGAAGACAAAATTTAGGCAAATAGTCTTAAAAGCTATTGAATGGTCTGAGAGACCCAAATATGGAACAAGCATGTTGGAGTGAATGAGCTCCTGGTTACTAGAGCTGTCTTGGTAGAGATGGCCTGAATACCGGCCAGTGATGTTGGATGGTGATTCACGCATCTGGTGATGGGAACACTAAATGATGCTTATTATTAAACACCTTGCAGCTCTGGAATTCTCTGAAATCTGTGATTCTGTCATGCCAATAATCAGTAAAATGACTAAATAATAACAAAAATACCAAAAGACACCACAAATTTCTCATATTTTAAACTAGGAGAAATAAATAACCAGGGGAGTAGTGATTGGCAAAATAGATAAAGGGGATTAAGATGTACAAACTTCCACTTGTAAAATAAATAAGTCACAGAGATGAAAATTACAGCACAGGGATATAGTCAATAATATTGTAATGACATTTTGTGGTGACAGATGGTGACTAACTACACTTATTGTTGTGAGCCTTGAGTAGTGTATAAAATTGCTGAATCAGTAAGTTGTATACCTGAAGTTAATATAACATTGCATGTCAGTCATGCTTCAATAATAAAAAGTAAAATAAAAATAAATAAAAGAATCAACCACTACTCAGCTCTAAGCAGTTGTTGCTGTGTAAGAAATAAATGTCTAGTGTTGTCAAATATTCTGATTAAAAAAAAAAAAACCTAGAAATCTAAAATCTGATGTGACATCTCCTGACTTCTAAATTTTAAGAACTAATTTTTAAAAATGTAATACAGTTGGGTGCCCTGTTAAGCGTCTGCCTTCAGCTCAGGTCATGATTCCAGAGTCCCAGGATGGAGTCCCACATCGGGTTCCCTGCTCAACAGGGAGTCTGCTTTTCCCTCTGCCTCTGCCCCTCCCCCAGTGGTATGCTTGCTCTCTCACTCTCTCTCCTGCAAAAATAAATAAATAAAATCTTTAAGATAAGTAAATAAAATAAAATAAAATGTGATACAGTCTATAGCCCCTCTCCAGCTGTAACCTAGTTTTTGATGTCCATATAAGCAGTAGGAAGCTTTCCAAGATACTTAAGCACAGGATAAACAATTTGATAAGACAAAAATTATTCTAGTGATTTGTAGATTATATATAGTGATATGATATATATAGAATGAGTTACAGAAGGTGGGACTACAAGAGACATTGTGGCCAGTACAAGAAGCAGCCTATGGGGAGGCTAAACTAGAGCAGAGGTAATAGAAACTGAGAGGTAGAGTTGGATTTTTGAAATAATTCATGGCACATACTAGATTTAGCAATAATTAGGATACAATAGTCGAGGAAGAGGGAAAAATAAGTGGCAAGTGGGTAGATGAAGATGTTATCTGAAAATATAGGACATATAGACATTTGAAAAAGAAAATAGTAATTTAAAAAATGTTCAACTTGAGGCACCTGTTTAAAACAGCTCAGTGGGTAGAACATGTGACTCTTGATCTAAACCACCACTCCTCTGGTAACCATCAGTTTGCTCTCTGTATTTAAGAGTCTGTTTTTGTGTTTTTTGCTCATTTGCTTTGTTTTATTAGATTTCAGATCTAAGTGAAATCACATGTCTGGCTTATTTTACTTAGCATAATATCCTCTAGATCCACCTATGTCATTCCAAATGGCAAGATTTCATTCTCTTTTATGGCTGAGTAGTATTACATATACAAATAGCTCACAACTTTAGTCATTCATCTATTTCTATCCACAACTTGGAGTGCTTCTATATCTTGGCTATTGTAAATAATGCTGCAAAAATACAGGGGTGCATATATCTTCTCAAATTAGTGTTTTTGTTTTCTTTGGGTAAATACACAGTAGTGGAATTACTAGATTGCAGGGTAGTTCTACTTCTAATTTTTTGAGGGAACTCCATACTGTTTTCCACAGTGGTTGCACCAATTTACATTCCCTGCCTCACAGTGTACGAGTGTTCCCTTTTCACTACATCCTCCACTAACACTTACCATTTCTTGTCTTTTTGATACTAGCCTTTCTGGCTTGCATGAAGTAATATCTCATGGTTTCAATTTGCATTTCCCTGATAATTAGTGATGTGGAGCATCTTTTCATGTGTTTGTGGGCCATATGTATGTCTTCTTTGGAAAAATGTTTATTTAGGTCCTCTTTCCATTTTTTAATCAAATTGGTTTTTTGGTGTGTATTGTATAAATTCTTCATTTATTTTGGAAGTTTATCCCTTATTGGATATATTATTTGCAAATAGCTTCTCCCATTCAGTAGATTGTCTTTTTGTTTTGTTCATGGTATCCTTTGCTGTGCAAAAGCTTTTTATTTTGGTCTAGTTCCAAATAGTTTATTTTTGTTTTTGTTTCCCTTGCCTTAGGAGACATAGCCATAAACATGTTGCTAGAATCAATGTCAAAGAAATTACCACCTATATTTTCTTTTAGGAGTTTTATGGTTTCAAGTCTTATACTTAGGTCTTTAATCCATTTTGAGTTTATTTTTGTGTATGGTGTAAAAAAGTGGTCCAGTGTCTATTTTTGTGTCAGTACCATACTATTTTGATTACTGTAGCTTTGTAGTAATCTCGAAATTTGAAATTGAAAATTGGTATCTCCACAGTTGTGCCTTTTTATATGGGACACTCTTCAGTTGCCTTTGGCCCACCAAATCCTGAAGGCAGTATGAGTTTTTAACCACCTTCTATAGGATACAGTTAAGTTGTCTAAATACAGCATTCAAGGCTTTTTAGAATCAGACCTCAGCACTCAGCCTTAATGCTGTGGCTCTACTGATGCTTTACTGACCCTTGAGCATAAGATACCTTCTCAAGCCTTATACCTTTACACATGCTTCTTCTACCAGGAATGCCTTATCCTCTTCTTTTCTACCTGTCAAACTACTATTCAGTTTTCAAGTCCTTTGAAAAGTAAAAATTCCTGGGCTCCAGCCCCAGAGAGCATGATTTGGTAAGTCTATTGTAGGGCCCAGGAATGTGCATTTTTAATATATTTTAATACTTTTGAAGTAAGTGGTTTGTCAATAGCACTTTGAGAAACATAGTTCTAAAAATAAGAGGTTTCAGGCTGGCTAATACCTTATAGCTTCTTTGACATCTAATAATTCAATCCCCATCTCCAATTATGTGTCAGAAGGATATACAGTTTTAAGTATTCCAAACCAAAATTCTAAAACTTGCCTTTTTGCCATTTCTCCTTGGAATTTGCTCTTTGACTCCTGGAGGAATAGCTTATTTCCTTTGATACTTGAACTCAAAGTGTTTCCAAATCCTATGTAAAGAGATAACATTTTGAAATTAAATGGCAAGAAATAGATGAAAGGATCTTGTCAGAAGTTATACAAGGGCTCTCTCCAATAGATATGATTCTGATTATAGAAGAAATGAATAATCCTCTCAATTATCAGATTTAATTTACATAGAGAAATAACGGAGCAAAGCTAAGGGAGTGAAACTATAAACAAATAGGTTAGCTTATCAGTTACTATACTAAAAGGTCCCCAAACCACTTTTACTTACTTACTTATTTTAACTCATGTAAATGATCAAGTTGAATTTCATTCAATTATTTTCAATGGTCTGCATACAATTAAGTTCATTTAAAGTGCTCTATACACGGCATTTATGGAGACTGATTTTCCAGCATCAAAGTTATGCCCTCACATGATTAGGCTACCTCAAAGAATCACTACAAACTGCCTCTTAAATTGCAATACACAATGACTTTTAACTTTGAGCTAGTGACTAGTAGCTGTCCACTGATACAGGAAATTGTGCCTACAGGCTCCACATCATAGATTTTCCTGGCCTATTTTGTGAAAGTGGTCAAATCCTATTCCTTCTGGAAGGAATAATAGTTCTCTAGATATTTCTTTAGAATCCTGAAACAATAATATTTCAACTTCTAATAGCTTCCCTTAAAAAGATTTTTTAAAAGAGCATTTGGGTGGGAAACATTAAAAGGTAACTATAATTCTGGGAGACTGACTTCCTCCTGTCAGCCATCATGGGAGAGAGTACCTCTATTTTGCTGTCTTCTCATACACTTATCAAGATTTTCATTTTCTGTTTTAGTGACATAGAGTAAATCTGCCAGTAATTCAGAACACTAAGTCCCGTTATTTTGGAGTTGTAAATGATTTAAATATAATATCTAGTACAGAAGAAATGAATCCTTTCTTATTATTTATTTATACCTGAAAAAAATCTGTATGTCTACTAGAAATAAAAGGTGTCTTTCATTTTCCTGGATAGCAGATGAATACTTTTATAAATTGAGTAATTTTAGGGCCACCTGGGTGGCTCAGTCAGTTGGGTATCCAACTCTTGATTTTGGCTCAGCTCATAATCTCAAGGTCATGGGATCAAGCCCTGTGTGGGGCTCTGTGCTCAGTGCAGTCTGTTGTCCCTCTCCCTCTGCTCCTCTCTTGCTCACGCATGTGAGCATTCTCTCACTTACTTTCTCTTTCAAATAAATAAATAAAATCATTTTTAAAAAATGGAATAATTTTGTCCTTCACAAACATTAGGAAATTATGTGTGATCACAGAATTGAAAGCTACATAGTCTATTTTATGAGGGAAAATTCAATAAACATTTTTTATTTAAATAGAGTTTTTAACAAGATAGGGGAGCAATAGAATAGAAAAAGCTCATATGCTATATCATTATCATGGAATAACCTCGAATTCTGTCCTTAGGAGTAAATGTGATTTATGGAAGGGTCACATTTTCAGTTTTGCTAAAAATTATAATCTTAAAAAAACAAAACTAATTAAGCAAACATTAAAAAAAGGCAAAGAAAATTAGTCCCAGAAACTGAATTGAAAAATACTTGAAGAATTTCTCATGAAATTATTTCAGGCTAAAAAACAATTTTACCTGATGTTTTTGTCTTCTCAGTACTGGCTGAAAAACTGGTAACTTCTAATAAGTTCTCATCATCAAAATCATCCCAAACTTCATCTCCCAATTCAAAGTTCACATTCAAAACTTTTGAGAATGGAGTATTACTTTTGTCCACATCTTTCAAATTCTGGTTTCCAGATGCATTAAGATGTCTGTTGAACAGCACTGTTTGAGGGGCTTTCTCATCTGAAGTTATAGGATAGTTCCATCTAGAGAAATCTGTCATGTGTATGTATAAAAGAGTATAGGTACTTTTAAAATCATTAACATAATTTCCCACTGATACATCAAATACATCTTTCAACTACTAAACTGAAGTTTGAATAGTAGTTTTCAAAAGTATTGAGTCAAGCATTGTTGAATATTGTTTTCAACCAATTCTATTTACTATTACAAATACTGATAGTTGCATTAAATTTAATTTTCAATGGATTCTTTTAGAGAGAATTATATTTTCTCTCTTAATTCCTATAGGAGAATAACCCTACTCTAAAATGAATTTTATAATTTCTAAAATGGTCTTCCTTCCTCCAGCTCTTTTTTCCTACAAGTGAATCTTGAATGTTATTATGAAATATGTTCTTCCAAAATATATCTTAATTTTTCTCCTGCTAAAAAATCTTCAGTGTTATCCATTGTTTATAGACTGGGCTTAGGGCCAGACTAATAGGTGAAAATTCTACTTCTCTCACTTACTAGTTGTATGATCTTAGACAAGTAATTTAAAGTCTCTGAGCCTCGTTTTCTCCTCTATGAAATGGGAATAATAATAGTATCTATTTCATAAAATTGTTAGGGGCAATAAATGCCTTTAGTTTTGCAGTTTTCCATAGCAGTGTGCTAACAAATGTCTAATAACTGCTTCTCCAAAATGTATGCATATATATATATGTATATATATATATACACATACACACACACACACATATTTATTATATTTATTTATTACGGGTAAAGGATATGTAACACACAATTTATAAATAGTAATAAAATATATAGCCCGCTTAATTGTAAATTTCATATATTTGATTTTCACTGAATGTTTTCATTGAGTTTTACCAAACTCTTATATCCGTAGCCAGCTTATGGTTGCAGTTAACAAAAGAATATAGTTCTCACATGAATGCTGCTTGACATTTTTGTTGACTGTAACAACTAAGGTGAAAGCAAAATAACAGAGAAGGATGTTGGGACTTGACTCATTCATTCATTGACTTAGGCAACTCCTTTGCTAAATTAGACAACAGTTTTCAAATACTAGAAGAATATTCCCTCACCCTTTTGTGCTACTCACAATGTCATAGCTATAGACAGAACACACTGTTAAAATTTACTCTGTACTATTAACATTTTTTCTATCACTTTCATAAGTCTAAGCAATAAATCAAGTCCTAATATGCAGTGTTTGCTGATTTCCATGGTATAAATATTCCCATTATGATTAATTTCAAGCTACCAATGTGACATCTCTGAATGCAGTTCAGAAGAAATGCATAGTAACACACTATTAAATAGTATTTCTACCATATAGATATAAATAAAAAGGAAATACTCTCAAGAACACAGTAATATGTTACTACATAATAGAAAGTGATCAATTTTGAATATTTACAGTCTTTGTTTTTAATTATTTAATTGAAAGTTTATACAATTAAACTTTTAATAATGGCTGAAAGATTCCCAAGAATTTAATAATAATCTCTCACAAGCCAGCACAAGCTTGCTCCAGTGCACCACCAAGATTCCTTCATTTTAAATATTCTCAGTACTTTACTTCACCTACCCAAATCTTACTTTATCTTTCAATTGTACCTAAAAGTCCAGTTCATATTATTCCACTTTTGTTCACTGATACACACACAATATATATACTAGAAATAAAAGAGATATAAAGTGTAATGGGAATGCAAAGGGAACAGGACCTAAACCTACAATGGAAGTCAGAGTGGACGCCCCTAAGATGGTAAAATGGTAAGAAGGTAACATTGGAATTTGAGCTTGGTAGAGCTGTGAATATGGAGCAGGGGAAGGGGGAAGGCAAGATACTCCATGAGGGGAGCACAGTATGTGAAAGACATGGCAGTATGGGAGACCAGAGAATGTTTGGAGAACTATATGTATTCAGGATTTCTGGATCACAAAGTAGGAGAAGGGCCCACTTAGCCTGACAGGAAGTTAAATGCCAGATTATGCTGATGCTTATTTTCTATGTTGAAGAATTCACTTTTTCCCCCTTTATAGGCAATGGGTAACTACTGAAGATATTTTAGCAAGAGGTTTATATGATCAGAGATACCTATTAGATTCCCCGGAATAGTTATGAATGGGATGATAATGAGACTGGAAGCAAAGAAAGCTATTGTAATAAATGAGAAACAATGAATGTCTGAGCTAGAGTATCAGCAGAAAGGACAGAGAAGAACAGATATGAGAGATGTTTAGGAGGCAAAACAGATAGGACTTGGCAATTACTTGCATGTAAGTTAAGGTATTTAAGATGAATCTTTTCCTGCCTTTAGCAGCTTGGAAAAGAAGAGGGTTCATTCACTGACCTAAGGAGAAAAGAAAAGGAGCAGTGTGAGGTACAGGGAAGATAGAAAGAGTTCAGATGCAGCTATGTTAACTATTAGGTGGCTATATCCAGAAAGATGACTGTATAGTTGGGTCAAGGCCAGATAGAAAGAAAGAGATGGCAAATGCAGATGTAGAAATCATCTGAATATAGTTAGTAGTTGTAGACATGGACTTGGGTGACATTGTAAAAGAAAAGTTTATGAAGTAGGAAGAATAAAAAAGTAAAAAAGAATCCTTTGCAACATCAACAGGAGAAAAAGCCCAAGCAGTTCAAGAAGTAGTAGTAGAACCAACAGAATAGTTTAATTGAAACCAAAGGAGAGATTTCCAAAAGAAGGGAAATACCAGATGTGTCAAACACAACAAAGGTCAAAGAAAATATAAGTTGAAGAGTTCACTGAATTCAGCACTTAGGAGATCACTAAATGGTCTAAGCAAAAGCAGTTTCAAAGGAGTAGAGAACCCAAATTTAGGTGAATGAAAAAATGACTAGGAGGTAAGGATATAAGCACAGTGAGTATAACTCGCCCTTTGAAGAATTTTTGTTTGATGGGAAAGCAAGACATTAAAGTATATAAAGACTTTGGTGATTCTGTTCTTTGCCTGACATACTTCCCCTTCTTTTAATAGGAGCATCTTTCCTGTCCTTTGGTGAAACTGCCTCCACACATTCCATGTAATCCTGGTGAGGATGTCATTTATGGTACCCTGGTCCCAAGGGCTACAGCAGAGGAATGCATGACCCAATCCCCAGGCTACAGGGTTTGATGGTGGGATGAATACAAGACTCAACGAAGGTCATTTAGAATGAACTCTGCTCTGCCAAACCTAACAGGGAAGGCTGTTTTTCCACTGAGACTGTTCAACTAGGAAGATGTGAGTTAGGGGCTACCTGCCATGTGAAAAAGCCTTTTGAAAAAAATAAAGCCAATTATTAACAGGCATAGCTAAAAAACTGAGAGAAAGCCAGAAGCACGACCAAAATTATTTGAGTGCCTGGATCTAGCAAAATTAAAGCCAGATGCATGTCTGGACTTACAAGTTTACATGAATGGTCTCCTTTTTTTTTGTGATTAAGTCACTTCGAGTAGAATTTCTGTCACTTATAACGAGAATAGTCATGACTAGCTTGATGAGGATAGGGAGCTGAAGAAGGAAGAGACTTGAGCATATTTATATGGTGAAGACAAATAAGGAGGAGAGATTAAAAATTTAGAAAAGAGAGGGATAACTGGTCTCCTAAAGCCCCAAGAGAGGCAGGATTAGAAATATTAAAACTGTAGGTGGAGAGATAAACCTTGAATAGAAGAAAAGAGAAATCTTCTTTAAAAACAAAGTTAAGGATGATACAGAGATAGAAATACACAGTTGCAGGGTAGAAAGTTGAAAGAGTTTATATAGGTTCGATTTTCAATTCTCCATTGACAACTAAAAGTCAATTTCATTTTATAGAAATGGCACTGAACTGGGAATCAAAAGATATAGAATCTATTTCTGTCCCTGCCACTAATTAGATATGTGATTTTGGGCGAGGCATTTAATCTCTCAGAGTCTTGGTTTCTTTCACTATAAAACTGCACAAAGGTCCCTTACAATTTAAATTTTATGATTCAACATACTTTCTCATATAATTTCTGATATTTTCCCTTCTCCTTTCTTGAAACTGGAGTACAGATGATAAAAATTGGCATGTTTTTCTTAAAACATTCTCTAGAGCAATATTTGAATACAAATAAAGTATGTTTTGCCACCAAAAATTAATTGTGAAAAGTATAATGAATATACTCAATTACTACTAATAATGGTACAAATACTATGTTAAGAGCTTTATGTATATTATCTCATTTAATACTAAATCCCTAAAACATAAGCAGATGAGGGAATTGAGATAAAGTGGGTAGTACATTATAAAAAGTGACAAAACTACTCAATGGTAAAATTTGAACCTAGACAGATTATTCTAAGCACTTTTCTTTTAGTAACCTCCCAGCCCAACATGGGTCTCAAACTCATAACCCCAAGATCAAGAGTCACATGCTCTACTAATTGAGCCAGCTAGGCATCCCAAACAGATTATTCTAGATCCTGTGAATTTAACTACTACACTATACAGCTTCTTCTTCTTTAAAAAAAAAAAAAAAAAAATGTGGCCCATTTTTAGTAAAACATGGATACAATTATTATTGGGGGTTAAAGTATCTAGATGAGACTTTAATATCATAATATAATTGGATTTGGAATAGGGGATAGGAAAGAAAGAAAAGTAGGAAAACTGCAAAAACAGCATCAAAGAGGGTGCCTGGGTGGCTCAGTTGGTTAAGGTCTACCTTCAGCTCAGGTCATGATCCCAGGGTCCTGGGATCGAGCCCTGCATTGACCCCTGTATTAAGCTCCCTATTGGGCTCCCTGCTCAGTAGGGAGCCTGCTTCTCTCCTCCCCACTTGTGCTCTCTCTTGCTATCTCTGTTTCTCTCTCTCAAATAAATAAAATCTTAAAAAAAAAAAACAGCTTGAAAGTAATCAGAGGAATAAACTGTGGTATGTAGAAGGGCAGGGAACAGAGCAGCAGAACAAAGAATAAGTTAGAGGGCTACAGGTTGAAGAGAGATAAAAATTAAGAAGCCGACAATGTAACACTTCTCCCCACATTGTAATGATACTAGACTTTGAGCAAGTTAGATTAATGCTCTGATACTCTGAGATTGAGGGACTTTTCTTATTTTTATTTGGGTCTAAGAGGTGGTGGGCACTCCAGCCCTTGCCTACTTAATATCTTAAATTATGGCTAGAGGATGCATAAAGTGACAGAATGAAGAAAAGAATATCAATAGATGCTAAGGTCACACACATGAAATTATTTGTGGAAAACCTCAAGTTTACCATTTCTACATGTATCAATAGAAACAAACAATTCTATGGCCAGGATTATTTCTCACACATTTTAACAGACTGGTTATAAATGGCATGACCCAGACAAATGATGCTATTAATAACAGGATCCAGAGTAATGATGAATTGGTCCCAGTGTTGAAGAACTATATGCTTTATCTCATTAATTTCATGACTGACACAGAAAAAAAGCAAATCTAGATTACATATGAGCTATAGCCCACAAATTAAGTTATATTCTCATATTATCAGAGAAACTGTAAGAATCTTAGGTTTAGAAACTGGAGAGGTATTAAAGTTTACCTAAATTAATCCCCTAATTTTAAAGATAAGACCAAGACCTAAAGAAGTTAAATAATTTTTCCAAGTTCACACAGCTATTTTATAAAACTGGACTAATTTTATAAACATAATATTATTTTAAATAATTTTAAAGACGTATAAAAGTAATAGTTCAGCATTTTAATACTTTGTGTATCTTGAGGTCTCTTATTTTCTCAGTTTTTCCTCATATTATCTTTAAATAAAAATAGTCAACACAACGTAGAGAAGAGACTTCTAAAAAAAATCTATAACAAACATAGCAAGTCCATCTGAAACAACAGACTTAAGAATTTGAAATTGGACCAATAACCCAAGAGAAAAATGTTGTAAGTTAATAATCATAGTAATCTCAGATGTTGGTTTTTCAATAACATTGTCATTCTGAAGTAATGATAAACCATCTTCTCTTTCAAGGTAATAACAATGGTAATTCACCTTTATCTTGATATTCTGATGGTTCTTGTTGAACTTCCGCACAGATTTCATGTTGATCCCTCTGCTCCATTAGAGACAATTCAGGTATGTTTAAACACTCTGACCTTTATAAAGATAAATAAAACCATAAAATGTTAAATATTAAAATTAATCTGAACTTGAAAACCACTTATGCATATAAATAAAAAAGAAATGCTTGATCTTCTCAACACTTCTATGATAAGCTGCATTAGCTTGGATATTAAAGAGTAAAAAATAGGTTTTTATTGGAAGATACTTAGTCATCTTTCATGACCCAGATATGTAGATATCTGCCATCTGTGTATAGCCTTAAAAATCTATTGCTAATGCAACTTTCAATTAGATAATAAAAGCTAGGATCTCTAGAAGTAGTGTTGGCATCTGTTCTGATTGGTCAGTGGCTGTTCTGTACTGTTTATTAAGTATAGTAAATGTCATCTTTGCATATAGAATACCCTTATCTGGAAGGGAAATGACATATACTACTGCCTTCTAGCCATCATGATACAGGAAAAGAATGCTGAGTAATCACCTAGAGCCTTCTGCTTAATAACTAGGAATATGAACTGCAGTTATTTTATCTATAAAATAGGACAGAAATAGCTCATTTTATGAGGCAGGACGTGGTTAAGGCCAAAAGAGATAATATAAAATGTGCAATTTTAAAATTTAAATTATTTTATAAATATTAAGTGTTATTAATATAGAGTGGGCCCCTAAATATAAAAGATTATACTTTGTACAGCAACATGATTTTTCTTTTTAAAGTATACTTTTGTGGAACGCCTGAGTGGCTCAGTTGGTTAAAGCCTCTGCCTTCAGTTCAGGTCATGATCCCGGGGTCCTAGGGGTCCTTGGGATAGAGCCCCGCATCAGGCTCTCTGCTCAGCAGGGAGCCTGCTTCCTTCTCTCTCTGTCTGCCTCTCTGCCAACTTGTGATCTCTGTCAAACTAAAAAAAAAAAAAAAAAAAAAAATCTTAAAAAAAAAAAAAGTATACTTTTGTGACCTGTTTAGAAAGCAGAGAAGGCCTGAGGGCATGACATATAGGAAGGGTAGTTTCCCAGGAAAGAGATGATTCAATGAATTTTAAAGTATTCTCTAACTGCAGAGTTCTAAATAAATTTAGATAACCAAACTCTTATGATGTCATTACTTCATTATGGAACTAAATGATTACTATGATTTGAATGTAGTCAGTGTTCACCTTTCCCTGAATAAATGATTATTTGGAGAAGCAAAGAGTTTATGATGATTATTCTACCTTGGATATTAACATTATATTTGTACCTTGATATACTGGGGAGAGAAGGTTTTGGAGTAAAACAAAATTCTTTAAGGTCCACACTTTGAGACTTATTCATTTGCATCTATTAATGAAAAAAAAAGTTCAACTGTCAATTTCACAGCAACACTTTTTAACAAATAAGCCAAACAGCAAAACTCTTGCTGGTATACAAAGTCCCCAAAACAATGGATTATGAGAAACTCAGGCTAGTTCTCAAATCAAATCTTCTCAGGGACTTCTTAAATGTTGATATTCTTCAGGTTCTTTACTAGGCCTCCTTCTTCTCCCCTCTCTTTACACATTTTCAAAGATCTAATTTACTTCCATGGCTTCAATTATCATCTACAAGTGAATGACTCTCAAAATATATATTTCTAACTCAGCTCCTTTCCCTGATTTTTGAAGAGTTAATCCAACTCTCTGTAGAACATCTTTACCTAGATATCTTGCAGGCTTCGAAATTCAGTGTTTTCCAGATTGAACTTATTGTGTATTTACTTCTCCATACTTGCTTTTCCTTTGGAGTTTCCACCCTGGTGAGGCCTCACTTTTTTCCTACTTGCTCAATCAAGAAAGCTGGTCATCATATTTATTCCTTTTACTTCATCTGTCGTAAGCAATTAAATACCAGGGTAGTTGATTCTATCTCTGAAAAATGTCTTAAACCTAGCCACTTCTTTCTACTGCTACTGCTACTATTAAACTAAGCCATTATCTTGCCTGGATTATTGCAAAACCCACCTAATGAGTCCCTATGTTCCTTTTCTATCATCCTCTAATCCATTCTCTACATTGCAACCATACTGAAATTTAGAAAATGCAATTCTGATCATGTCACTCATTAAAACTCTTCAGTGGCTTCCCAGTACTTTCACGATAAGGTCCAAATCTTTAAAATAGCAAAAATACCTTCATTATCTAGCTCTCACTTACCTCTTCAGCCTCATCTCTCACTATTTCCTTACTTGTGATTGAACTCCAGACATACTGTGTAACTTCAATGTTTTAAAAGATGTCTCTCTTTCTCAGTTCTGGACCACTTCATATTTCCTATGTCTGGAATACTCTTCTATCCCTCTCCCCCACCACTCTGGTGCCTATCTCTCCATTCATGACTTATGCCTAGATATTCTTCAAGTCTCAGTCATATTTATTTGGAATCCTTTCCTGGCCTATCAAATCTGGACTGAGTACACTTTCTATCCAATTTCAAGTTATCTTATACCTCTGTCACAGAATTCTCTATCACTGAAAAAGCCTATTTAGTTATTTATCCTTTACTCAATTATAAGCTCTATGAGGACTGGGACTAAAACTGTCTTATTCACTGCTGTATCTTAGCACCTGTCACAGTACTTAGCATATTGTTGGTGCTCAATGAATGTGGAAGGAGGGCACCCAGCTGACTCAGTTGGAAGGGTGTGAGACTTCTGATCTCAGGGTTGTGAGTTTGAGCCCTACTTTGAGTGTACAGATTACTAAAAATAATAACTTTCTTTTTTGAGAGAGGGAGAGAGGGGCACCAGGGTGGCTTAGTCAGTTGGGCATTTGTCTTTGGCTCAGATCATGATCCCAGGGTCCTGGGATCAAGCCCCACATCTGGCTCCCTGTTCTGCGGGTAGCCTATTTCTCCCTCTCCCTCTGCCTGCTGCTCCTTCTGCTTTTGCTCTCTCTCTCTGTCAAATAAATATTAAAAAAAAAAAAAAAGTAAGAGAGGAAAAGAGAAAGGGAGGGAAAGGGCATAGAGTGAGGGAGAGATATAATCTTAAGCAGGCTCTTCAACCAGTGTGAAGCCCAACAAGGGGCTCCATCTCAACCCTGAGATTATGACCTTAGCCAAAATTAAGAGTCAGACACTTAGCAGATCACCCAGATGCCCCAGTTAAATAAACTTAAAAAAAAAAAAAAGAATATGGAAGGAAAGAGGGAATAATATGGAATAGAGAAGGAAAGAAGAAAAAAGGATAAAAGAAAGGAAGGAAAGAAGGGAGAGGGAGGAAAAACTTGGGCTACTAAAAAATTAGTATTTCAGAGAAGGTGGTGGCTGTTTCGACGTGCATGCCTCTCCATTTCCCAGTATTCCCCTTATTTTAGCCTCATGACTTAAAATCTTCATTCTTATTAAAGCTCTAGAAAAGTGCTTTTCTTACCTCTTTTCCGTGGCCTGATCAATTATTTTGCCCTGAACATGATGAGGTAGGCTTAGAATAAGTCTGCTAGTGACCAGCCTATCAACCAGTAGGAACAACCATTCTTTCAGGACTTGGAAAGGAGGCTCTTGCTCAGTACTCATATAGGTACATGAATCAAAATCAACTTCAGACTTTCCATACCACTCCAGCACAGACAGAACCAGGAAAGAGCAAGTGTGTCTAGTTTTAATTGCCGAACTAAGCCAAACTACATATCCCTCACCATTTCCTTCTTCTTTGGTTTAAAAAAAAAAAAAACAAAAATCAAAAAACTAATAAGGGGTTGTAGAACTATGTCCCAAAAGTAGATTTACAGACTAATTATTAAGAACTACAATATTTTGGAGCAACTGGGTGACTTGGTTGGTCAAGCGGCTGCTTTCAGCTCAGGTCATGATCCCAGGGTCCTGGGATTGAGCCCCGTATTGGGCTCCCTGTTCAGGAGGGAGTCTGCTTCTCCCTCTGCCTCTGCCCCTCCCCCTGGTTGTGCTCTTTCTTAGTACCTCCTCTCTCTTAAATAAACAAATAAAATTTAAAAAAAGAAAGAACTATAATATATTTCCTTTAGAACCAGTATTTTGAAAAATGGCCATACTCCTAGGCAAGCCCTCAAGTAATTAAAGTATACTTCAGATACCTACCTAACTGATACATAGAATAAAAGAATATTCATATACCTTAAATTACAAAACAAGGGCTAAATGTTATTAAAACTAACCTTGAGACGTTTAACAGGAGGAAGTGATAAAACAGCATTCCTGTTTCTTAAATCAGATAAATATGAAGAGATTGTTGGCTCTTTCATCTCTGACCTCTGTGCAACTCCAGTTTTACCTAAGAAAAGAAATTCTCAATTCTTTAGGTTAAACTTTAGGTAGTGTTCATGTAAAGCCAAATTTATTCATAATTTCTTTTTCTAAAAATTTTTTTATTTAAATTCAATTTAGTTAACATACAGTATTAATAGTTTTGGGGGTAGATCTCCATAATTTCTAATCTACTTTTTTCATGTTATCCACAAAGAAAGAAAATTATTTGAGTTATAAACTGCAGAATATAAATATCATACATAGGTAATTAGGATGTCATTACTATTCAAAGGCCATTCAATTTTTAAAACCTGAAATAAACTTCTTTTATGGAACTCACAGCAGTCATGTCCACATGTATGTTTATTTTTACAGTGATGATTACATTCTCGATTCCCAGGTTTTTTGCAAGCAGTCATTCCTAAATTAATATAAGAAAAACAAACCTATTTTTTACTGTAGTTCATTTCCTTTTATAGAGTACAAAAAGTTACGATTTTCACACTTTTTCAAAATGTTAGCCCATTTTATATGTAATTTTTAAAATGATACTTCTGACAACAGCTAGTCCCTGCCGGGTTATTAACCCAATCCCAGCTCCTCACAAGGAAGGTCAACACACCTATAAGCTTCTCTTTACCTCCCTGACATAAACAGAGCCAATTACCACAGAATATCAGTAACTCTTTTTTTAAAGATTTTATTTATTTATTCACAAGAGACAGAGAGAGAGTGAGAAAGGCAGAGGGAGAAATAGACTCCTCGCTGAGCAGGAAGCCTGATATGAGACTCAATCCCAAAACCCCAGGATTATGACCTGAGGTGAAGGAAGACTCAACCATCTGAGCCACCCAGGCACCCAGGAATATAAGTAGCTCTTATCTTGAATGAGGTAAGAATAAGAAACTTCTCTGCTGCTTTATACTTACACTTAAAGTAGAACCTGGAAAGAAACAAACATAACAGCATTTTGATGGTATCAGTGATAGTTTCTAGTACTTAGGACATCATACATATTTAATAAATGTTAGAAATATGTGTTTTGGGGGGTATAAGGAATTTTCTGTATGAATTCACAGGAAAAAGATTGCTTCCAGCTTGACCCCCCAAGCTAGAACATCCAAATATATAATTTATTCTTCATTTATAATATTTTAAGTAGACTTTTTCTTGATCTTAGTAACAAGAGGGAAGGAAGAGACATCTGAACTGACAGATAGGATCTGGACACGAGAAGGGGACCAGGGGAAGATGGTCCAGGTAGAGGGCATAATATTCAAAGACAGCAAACCACAGACTGTAGAAATAGAAATAACTTGACTTTTTTTGGAGCATAGATTTTAAGTGAACTAGAAATGTTGGAGGGAATGAAGAGCTTTGAAAACCTTTATAACATTTTCTGGTCCTTTACTCTTCATTTTTCAGTGCTGTTGCTCAGTCAACTCTTTTCAAGACATGGCACATTTAGATAATAATAATATTTGTATAGCACCTGGAGTAAATGGATAAGGCTGCTCACTCTATGAGGCAACTGGCTACATGCCTTAAGGGGCAAGCAGATCAATGTACTGGGTAGTGATAAAGTAATGAAACATCCCTGGCAGCTGGAAGCTGACAGGCTGAACCACAGGGTTCCCAAGTGAATATAAACAACTTTGGCAGAATATAAACAATACTCAGGTAAGGCCATTCTGTGACTATAGTAAAGATCGAAATAAGACTACTGTGTAATTATCTCTGAAACTTGAGACAAGGACACTCAAGAACCACAAAAATAACTAAACATCCCCCTCTTCTGGCTAACACAAATGACTACTATTTCCATAATCTTCCCATATCTAAGATAAGATACACCAAAATATCTAATACTTCCCTTTTTTAAGTATGTAATCTAGAATTGACCTCTGCTCTCCCTAAACCCTGCTAAGAATCACCAGCACAAGATAAAATCCTATAAATAATCTTTTCCCAACCCCTTGAGATAACCCACAGCTCTACCAGAGCTGTGATCTTTTGCTGTAACAAGTCCAAAAATACTTAACTTTCCTCAACTACAGGTGTGCTCCCAGTGGTCTTTAGATGAAAGGGTTCAACAATATATTTTGCAAGGTTTGCCACGGATTACTGGTTAGAAGATTTGCCCCAGTTCAAAATTTCATCTCTCAGTTACCTGGTATCCTTGTCAAGTCCTACCATATTACAATTTATTATACATGCTGTTGTTTAATTAGTCCTCCTGAAGTTCAACTCTGGTCAGATCATTTGTCCACCTAGAATGTTAGTTACTTCCTGTGCCAGCAAATTAATTCCATATTTAAAGTCCTCCACAATGTAATTCTAGCCTCCCTTTCTGGTACCCTAAATACTAATCCTAATTCATCAAAATATATTTGGTTGCCATTATTCAAATCGTCTCAAGACATTCTATGATTATAACTCTGATATTACCTCTTGTCTTAGAAGCTGCTCACTTCTTTGTCTATCAGAAGCTTATCGACTTTCAAGACCAACTTAAATGGTACCTCTACCATGGAGATCTATTCTTATCACCCCATCTGAAGTTATTTTTCTCTTCTTTGAGCCCCTATGGCATTTTCTTTGTCTCTCTTTACTCACTGCATGCTGCCTTATATATTCACATGAGAAACACATGGTGAGGTACAGGGCACCTTAAACTAAAATAAGAAAACATAAGTTTTAATATGGGCTCTTATCTGTAAAAAAACAGATTAAAAACAATATCTGTTTTGTTCACCTCATAGAGATGAAAAGATAAAATGAAATTAAGTATGTGAAGGCATTTCTTTTTTTTTTTTTTTTGAGATTTTATTTATTTATTTGATAGAGATCGCAAGTAGGCAGAGAGGCAGGCAGAGAGAGAGGAGGAAGCAGGCTCCCTGCTGAGCAGAGAGCCCGATGCGGGACTCGATCCCAGGACCCTGGGATCATGACCTGAGCCGAAGGCAGAGGCTTTAACCCTCTGAGCCACCGAGGTGCCCCTGTGAAGGCATTTCTAAATTAAGTGATAAACTAATATATTAGAGCATGTATTATCTCTATTCTTACTTAAGGATTATGCAAGTAACTACAAAATTAAAATTGTTTAGAATCCTATGAAGGAGAGAAACACAATGCTATATGATAATTGGAGGCACCATCCTAGGTAGGAATGTCTTGGAAGGCTTCCCTAACTTCCCTAACTCAACTGAGTTGAGGACAAAAGAAAGAATGGGAATTAAGAAGGCAAGGAGGCAGGAGAAAGAGAGCATGGCATATGCAAAAGCTCTATAAGGGAAAGCACGGCATATAGGAGAAATTGAAAGAAGGTCAGTGTGATTAATACTCAGCAAGTAAGAGAGAGCACACAACATGAGATTAGTAGAGAACAGTCAGGCTATATTTGTAGAATGGCTCCACCATGGAACCCTGGTAATTCCATGTCTCTATATAGGCCATATCAAGACTTAACTATTTATAGAATGCCCTCTGAACCTCTTTGGGACATGTCAAGATAGTCAGTCTTGTGAGGTGGTACTAAAAGAAATTTCTCATCTGCCTCCTTGGCTTGCATGAGACTGCCATGAAGCAGTTTCTCATCTGCCTCTGGTTCCGGTAAGGCACTGGTCCTTCCACCTTGCCTCTTCCAAGGTACAGATGCAGGCTATAAAACCACTTAATTGCAGCCTATAGTTGATGCCTCAAAAACAAAGCAATCCACCATTGTGTTATCTGATCAGTGTTATCCTATGGGATTAGGAATGCAAGCAACTGATAACATGCTGATATTATTTTGCTGTCCACATAAGTAATAAACTGTCTAGGTCCATTTAGGTCTCCAGTGTCCTTAACCAGCCAAATCTATGGAGGTGAGACAAGACTACCTAGCAACTGCCATCCCACTGCTGCTTAGGAATTGACTGACCACGTGACCTAGTAGGGATGTTAATGATTGGATCTTTTATTCTAAGGCCTAGGAGGAGACACTACATTGATTTAATCAAGGAATGAACATAATTAAATTCACAGTTTGAAAAAAAGGCTACCACAGGAGTCTAGGCAAAAAAATGATGGTAATTCAGTCTAGAGTGATGATACTACTAGAGTCAGAGAATGGGCTGATTTGAGAGCTAGACAGAAAGAAAAAATATCTTTAATACTGAATCAAGTGAAGCACTTTTCTTTCTTGAGCAGCTGTATTGTTTTCCCTGAAGTTTTGCTGCCTTTCTTTTAGTCTTAAATTTCTTTAAGTGTATTCAATATTTCAGAGACAAAAATAAATACATGGAGACACCACCTATTTATTCCCCCTTCATGGCTACCTCCTTCTTAAGCCTTCCATCCTCCTCCTAACATATTGTAGGCCTGTCCTACAACTGTCATCCAGCGTCCTGGGATCGAGTCCCACATCGGGCTCCTTGCTCAGCAGGGAGCCTGCTTCTCCCTCTGCCTCTGCCTGCCCACTCTATCTGCTTGTGCTCACTCTCGCGCTCTCTCTCTCTCTCTCTCTCTGACAAATAAATAAATAAAATCTTAAAAAAAAAAAAAAAAAAAAGCAAGACAGCCTCTCAGAGAGAAACTGGATGAGTTGTCCCCACCCCAGAAGAGTTCATTAAAAAAAAAAAAAAAAAAAAAAAAAAAAGCTTCTTGAGTGAATCCACTATTCTTGGATTCTTTGACTTCTTTTTTGGTTAACTGCTTTGTTATATTGTGCTCATACTCAAGCAACTGCCTCAGAAAAGCTGTGTGTGAGTTCAACTTTCTAAATCCTTGGATGTATTACGATTACTTTACTTTCACACTTAATAGTTTGGCTGGGTATAGAACACAGGGTTGAAAATCATTTTCCCCTGGACTTTTAAGTCTATTGTCTTCTACCATCCAGTGCTGCTGATAAAGATGAACAAAATTTCAATTCTTGTTCCTTGAAAGTGTTTATGATTTTCTCTTTATGCATGATGTTCTGAAATGTTGCAATTATTCCTTCTTTGTAGATATTCTTTCATTCACCCTAACTAGCACTGACTAAGCCTTTTTGATATGCAGATCTATATCTCCAAGTGTAGAATATTTTCTTAAATTATTTCTTCTGATTTGTTTGTTGTCTCTTTCTGGAACATTTATTAGTCAGCTACCAAACTCCTAGATTTCATTTTATCTCTTTTATTTTCTGTCTCCCTGTCTAATTCCAAAGAATCAAGACTATCTAGATAAGAAATAGCAAATCTGAGTTTCTAGCTAAGGTAGTCTAATTCCAGAGCCCGAACTCTCAACCACTTTGTCTCCCTCAAATAATGCATTTAATTTATTTAGGGAAGAAATCAAAGGATTTGGGGGGTGGGAAGTCAGGAGGAAAAACCTTGTAGGTTGTTGTTTTGCAGTAAGGAATAAGGAATTGCTTTGTTCCTTAATCCAACTCCTAAT